GTGATTTTGTAATCATCATGCCATCATCATCACCATTATCATCATCGCGTTCCTGATGAAGTGCATCAAGACAAAACGTGGTTATTTAAAGTTCAACACCCCTTGCAACACTGCAATAAGGTACATGTATATGTGACGTGAGGCAGCGTGGTGGAATCAGGCTCTCGTCAATTTTTGGGCATGTCGAGTTATTGGTATCATCTTAAAGCTTGTTCAATTGTCTTTATTTGTATGAAAAATACCCATTTATCTTGAATACAAGTTGAGATATTTGTGAATGAAGGAGATGGGGGTCATCTGTTTTGAGAGGCAAAATTAGTGAGAAAATGGCCTCCAAAGATGAGTTATTTCTTTAGCTTAAAAGTCCTTGGTAACTTAAAATTTACATTTTTTGTGCCTTTAATCGACGTTTTTCAGAAAAATCCACACAGAAATGAGTTCTTTATTATGCATGAAAGGTGTTGAGCCAAAAACAAAAATTTGATAAAAATTCAAAAACTTACGGAAAAATGAAGGTTTCTTCATTTTGATTAATTTGACGAGAGCCTGATTCCACCACGCTGCCTCACATATATCTCAGAAGCAGGACCTTCAAATTTGACATCCTTTTTTTTTTAGAAGAGGGTTTTACGGCGCTCGCAACTGCATAAGGTCATATGAGCGCCAAGGGGTGGGTGTCAACAGAGAAATCTTTACAACAGTACAGGGAATCAGACTTACTCCTCTCACCCCTCTACCCTCAACAGCACAAAATCTGCTTCGACTATGAAGGCACCCCGGAAATAGCAGGTTACAAGAGAGTGACAAACATGCAAAAGAAGTACATGTAGAGGAAAAATGATAATAGTAAGGATTAGGAAAGAAAAAGCAGCTGTTCCCTGTTGTAGATCAGGCACAGTTATGAGCCTGACATGATGAATCGGACAATTCACAATTCTACTGTGCTTGAACTTCCTTTAGGAATGGCCTAAACTAAAGACAATATAGTCAGTGGCACCTCCCCGTGGGGTACAGAGCAGAACTCTGTAACTCTAGGGTAGCGACATGTCAGTAATATTTCAAATAATTTCATTGTCCTTGTGTGGTTCTTGTTTTGTGCATAAACCGACATGAAAAGGCATGCATGCGTGCAAAAGAGATAACAAAAGCCATCTTCCACGTAAAAAAAAAATATTTTATCTAAAAAAATTGACACATAGATGTACATGTATGTAGAGTTACCAAAATTAGCCGGATGGAAAGCAAAAACGACAAATAGAATAAGATGTGGCAGGTTCTCCACACAAGACAAACCCTGCCGAACAAAATGAAAAGTAAAAAAAAAAAAATTCAGAATACAAAATACAATGCCTTGGTCCTATAAAACGCCAGCAGGCCATCAAGAAGGATATACTCCAAGGCAAGTTGTTAGGCACAGAGGCTAAGGGTGGACGATGTTCCATGTGTACAGAGACAACGTCGAAGTTTGAACTGGGCTGACAATGACAAGATGAACCCCGGTTTCTGTGGTGTAGTAGTAGTGGTTAGGCATTTTGCCGTCGCACGCAGGAGACCCCAGTTTGATTCTAGAGTGGGGAGAATTTTGCCGGGTATCTTGGTCTTTCTGCTGGGACGTTGTATCCCTCTCGGCCCGGGTTGGCCCTGAGAGGCATGGTCAGAAGCCTGCCTCCTTATTTTGTCTAAATTGTGTTGATGGGTGTGTACAAACACCTACAGTGCGGCGTGTCTGTAACGACCTTCGATATAACGACGTCTTCTGCATTGTGACATTGTGCCCAGGTCCTGATTTTTTCATTATTTTTATCATTAGTAATTTTTGGTTGCCTCTCTAGAAAGACCTCTCTATTTAAAGACATTTTTTTCTGTTCCCGACGATGTGGTTAAAGAGAGGCGGCACTGTACGTTATCAAATCAAAATGTATGCGAGCAGCCAGCCTGCTCTATCTATGGCACATCATAACATGTCAATATGGGTTGTTGGCAGAGGCTCTGGTGTGGTTTGCTATTTATTTCCCTCAAATAAAAACATCAGTCAGAAGTAAAAGACCTAGGCTTCAGATCTGTAACAAAGAAAGACACAGAAGGTCATTTTTACCATCATCCGTCAAAATTCTTCGATCTTAACCATCTTGCATAGGTATTCATACGACCTTAGAGCATGCATCAGAATAACATTGAGGAGTGTGTATTCAGCTTAAGATTATTATTGTTTATATTGCTGCTCATTTATATCATGCCTGTGGTTGTAAGCCTGCATGTGTGTGTGTGTGTGTGTGTTTGTGTGTGTGTGTGTGTGTGTTTGTGTGTGTGTGTGTGTGTGTG